TCTGATAACACCTCCTGCAGCGGCCTTTTTTCCATCCCCAATGTAAAGCTCCATCACATTTAATTTTTACATATCCTTTTGGAGGTGGTATCCACAAACTAACTTGTAAAAACCTTGATTATCTCTCTGAAAAAAAATGTTTGTTCACCAATTGATAAATAAATTACAAATATAACAATGTTAAAAAATCAAATGAAAATTTAAATTTTTGACATCTAATTCAAAGTAAAAATAAAGAATAATAATTATATTATAATAAAAGATGATTTTTATGTCAAAATAAATTATTAGATAAACATGTTTCAAGGACATAAAACACTCCAAATTAAACTTTCACCATAATCTTTTTGCGTATTTTTCTTTAGTAAAAAAATTGACATCCGGCAGATCCTATTGTTAACAGTCTAGAATTAATTTATAATTATACAAGAAATGCAAACTTTTGCAATCTTATTTATGTGTGATTCTCTATTATTACATTTGATAAAATAACATCAATAGCCCATTATATGTGAACATATGATTTATCTTTTTTTAAATTCAAAACTAAATTAATTGGAATAAAAGGAACAGAGTATGAAATTTTTATCATTTATTAACATTTTAAAATGCAAAAAGGATGAAAGAAAAATTACCTTATTCAATATGACATTGTTGTTTGTGTTACCCACCAATTTAAGTTTGGGCATTCTTTCACCCTTTGGACAATTAACCTTTAGCCAATCTGCACCTGTATAGGTGATGATGACCTTTGAGAAACTACATTTTCCTTCTACCCCCTCTTTTGTAACAATGAACAAGACACAATTCTCTCTAGACTTAACTCTCTCCGCATAAATGGTTTTCAGGAAAATGGAAATGATGATTTTGAAGGAAAATATAGTGTAATAGATTTTGGATATGACTCATTTAAATAGAGAAATGAAATACTACAACATAAAGAGTTAGAGATAATATAAAATAAAATTATTAAAAAAATCAATACTGTAATAATATAAAAACATAAAATAAATGACGAAAGATAAAAATAAAGATAAAATAAAATAACATAAACAATAAACCATCTATATTTCGTATCTTTAGTTTTAAGTAAAAAACATTGAACAGTTGATTTATATATGATAAAAAAATCCATCCTATAAAAACTTAAATATTGTGCAAAATACTCAATCTATAAATGGGTTCTCTGTCCTAACGAAACCAATTGATATATATCATATCATAAATATTTTTATATTGTTTTTAGTGTATGTTTAACATTGTTAACACTGCTTGTAAGTAATTTGCCGTATCTAAGTTTGTTTTTTTATTTCCGTTGTGAGATATTTCTTGATGTACAAGAGTATATAAATTTTACATATGTATAAAGAAATTTTTGATTAATATATTATAGTTTTTTTATTTACTATAATACATAAATATTTATGTGATTCGTTGTTTAATAGTTATTAATGGCGAAAAAGTAACTCAAATAATTACTGACTAAACTTAAGTCTCACATAAAAACTAAATAAATCTGATTAAAGGAGATAATTTATTTTCAAAACTAAATTAATTTAATATATTCAATAAAACCTAATAATTTGTGTAGGTTAATACGAAATAATTAAATTGTAGTATGTTAATTATTCGAACTGAAAATTTGGCTGGAATATATTATATTTTAATTTTTTTTTATAAGTTGTAATTGTCAGCCTCATTAATAAAAAACGCACCAATACCCCTCTGCAAAAACGGACCGCCATGTGGTCGAACAACGAGGATCAGAATCAGATGTGGAATGCAATGTGTCAGCAGAAAGCGGACGCTTTTTTTTGACGTCGGAAGGAAAACTATTTTTCCTCTGAAACTTCCGTCTCACTCTCTTTCTCTGCATGCACCTTCTTCCCAAAACTCTGAACTTCTCATTTCTCCTCCTTCTTTCTCACTAAAATCCCCCTTCTCTTTAACCAAAACTCCCTCGTTCTCTAACAACCGATCTCCATTGCCTGCACCGTAGGAGCAACTTCCGATCCTCCGGCGTCCCAAGCTTTAGTTTGATCCGATTGGTTTCAATTCCTGAACGGGTAAGTTTTCTTGTCTTTAAAAACGTTCGTTCTTGTAACAATTCAAACCAGTTCTGGTTTGCATGGGTCCTTAGTTTTATTCTGAACGTTTGGTCTGCTATTTATGTTTTACTCAGGTAATCTTTTTAGTCAATATGTAGTAATGGTAAATACAGTTGACGCCCTAACTAGGTAGTTTTGATCAAGCATGAACAGTCATCTAGCTGCTTGATATAAATCATAACTTAAAATGACAGAACAACTTATGAAATAAGTTATCAGACAGTTAGGTGATAGAGATATTACAGTGAAATGCTTCTCAACGTCATTAACATCATTCACCAATGATGCCTTTGTATCATTTAATGAGATTGCAACTATTTTCGAATCAAGTTCCCCTTCATCAATCATGGATAATGCATCCCAGGGTTTGACCTTCAAAACCTCACATATTTTCCTCTCTTTCACCAATCTCAACAACATCAACTGCAAAATTACAATGATTTCAGACATATTGTGTTGTATTCATAATATATCATTATGGTAGGGAGGGAAGTCTAATCTTAATTAATGAATACCTGAATCGTTATCTCCCGTTCTCCTTCAACTTTAGAGTTTGCAAAAGATGGATTTTCCCATGTTGTGGAAGTAACCATAGTTTCCCCATGTATATTGTAGCTGGAGAACATGAATAAGATGTGTTTAAGAATGGCTAAATTAACCAAATCAGTCCTAGCTAGCATCAACCAGACATAGTAAAGAAGTCAACGGATGTGTTAAATGCGAGATGCAAATGCTTCACTGTTTAAGGATAAAAATTAACATGAAAATGGCATTTAAGAAGGAAGCGGTAAAAACTATCAAAGGTCTCCATGGGTATTGAACCCTGAAAGTAGTAGATTTACGGTAAGTAAATAGACAACACTAAATAAGCAATATCACACCACATTATCTCAACAATAAGGCAACAAACTAATATAAGAATAGATTTACGTTAAAAGTGAACTGCCAATAACAAATAATGTAATTTAGAATAAGAAAGGAACAACATGAGCTCAGAAATGGTATCTCACGGGTAATATCAAAGCTTTCCCTTTTCTGTATCTTGTTTTATCGGAGTGAAAGCTTCATCAGTTGCAACCTCCGTCTTTGCACTGGATTCTTTAAGAATTTCAACAATGAAGTTGAAGATATCATCACCCGATGGCAATGGAATATCATGCCAAAGAGAAACCTAAATATTTTGCAAATTACATTTTAGGTACAATAACAGAATCATAACAGGTACCCCTGGGCAGAAAACTCTTCTTTGACTTAACTTCCATTTCCTAAGGAAAGCTCAATATCTCCATTAATCGTAATTCTTATTACATAGCTATAGCTACACGGGGTAATTAGCTCCCATCATTAAGCAAATATAAATCATGAGGAATCCCTCATAAACCATTAAATTTGGCTCCTGCTCACGTTCTTTTCATAAAAGCAGAGGAAATGTAGAATGTAGAGGTTTTAAACAGAAATCTCATTTTAGCTAGTGAAGCATAAGAATATTTAAAAAACTATTCACATCAGCCACACCAAGCCTATCCTAAAACTTACCAAACTATTGAATCCATAACAGAAAAACAATATTAACTCAGACAATGGATTTGCACGGTGACGAGGTTCAAGAATCCAGATGTGTGGGGACGGAGAAAAGGATTATCGCGGTGGTCTTGGCGGGGATTCTGGGATGGAGCCCGAAATCGGCAGCGATCGTGGCGATGCATCGTCGGCTAGACAGCTCGTCTCGTTGAGAACGCGTGCCGAAGATAAATTTTTCCTGTGCATTTTAAAAGTGAATTTTTATTAACGGGACAAATTAGAAAATTTTATTTTTAAATTGATTCTTATTTATCTTTACTTCACTTAAATAAATTATAAAAAATCTATTTTTAAATCCTCTTAAATTTCTCTCAAATTTATTCTCTCATATCCATTGATGAACGGAAACTAAATGTATTGAAGAAAAGGAAAAGATAAAAAGAAAAAATAATTATAATTTAGGTAAGATATAAACCTCTCTTAGAAAGAATTTAAACCGCCTCTACTGTTAGCTCTTGAACAATTCACTAAAATCCTTTTAAATTATGTTAGTTTGTGGGAGTTTTTTAAAACCCCTCAAATAACCCCCAGATAATAGTTTTTTTTTGTAGTGCATAGCTTCTCTTACCCTATTTCAACATATGCATAATCTCATGGCACAACATTCTACAAACACTGCTCCAGAACATGCTGTTATACGAGCTGAGTAGAATGAGAAGTTCTTGGAAGTGGTCAACACCCTCACCCAAAAATTGTTCCTTCCGCCTACACCTACTACTCAACCACCACTACCTCCACCACCTCTATGCGGGAATGATGACCTTTAGTACCTTTTTGTATAACATTATATACAAATTAATTTTTGTTTGAATTTAAAAAAAAAATAAAATTGTTTAATTTTAAAACAAATAAAACTAATTTGAGATAAAATAAAAACCTAACTATCGAATTAAATTAACATAATACGTGATATTAACAGATCATGATAATTTTTTTATTTTATAAAAATTACAAAATAAAAAATAAATAATTACAAAAAACTATTTATAAAAATATCAACCGTGACACACCCCTTCTTAATTGTCTTTAAATGTCCTCAGTGTAAAAACTAAAGAACTAATTACTTCACTTTTTTAAAAAAAAAAAGATGATTCAATTAAAACCAACAAAAAGACCATTTAAAAAAATCATAGAAAAGACCAATGTATGATTACACCTTATAAATCATTCCTGCCAAAATTAAAAGTAAATATTTTAATTATCGTATGTATATATATGCAATTTTAAAAGTTTGGGACCACATTATTCCAGCTCCAATAATCATATCCGGCCCTCTCATCTATATATACGTATGAGACCACCCATGTTAAACATTCGCAGTTTGCAGACATAAGCGAGCCTTAACAAAATGACTCTTGTGAACCCAACGTTGCTCAATTCCTCTTTTACTCCACATCTCACTTTTACCAAACCTCTGAAACCAGTAGCTCCTATTCTTCTCCAACGTAGGATAATCTTCCCTCGCTACAACGCAACCACCACAAACGTTAACGTTTCTGAAAGAAAATCAGCAAACTACCAAACCCAACCTCTGGACTTAACGACTTTCTGCAGTCCTTGAAGCAGGCCTACGCTGTAATTAGTTAAAGCATCATAATTAATCATATACACTGTCCCTTTCTAAACTTTTTCTTACACACTTATACGTGATTCGTTCTTTGTATACGTTTTCAGGATATAAGATACGAGGACAGGGCCAGATGTTGCAGGAGGAAGTGAGGAGAATGATAAAGGATGAAAGTTCAGACATATGGCTCAAACTTGAACTCATTAACGATGTGAACGATTGGGTCGGAGTGTACCATTATGAACAAGGAATAGTGAACCCTTCTTCGGTGCACTCGTCTTCTGCAGGATTCATTACAAGCACATTCGTTAAGACAGAAGTTTTGCACGAAACTGCTTTTGCTTTAGGACTCTCAAGAATATGGCCATGATGTCTCAGCAGGTATAACTAACGGTTATAATTTACATTTAAGTATAAGCAAATACCTTGTTTTTCTAAACAAATTATTTAGAATTTATTTGTTTGTAAACTATCTGAAAACTACATTACACCTAACAAATAAGCACTAATTATGTTTTGCATTATTCCTAGATAAAGAAAGAACACTACATCTATATATACTTTCATTATGTTTTAATTATTTGATAAAAAATAGAAACCGAAAAAAGAAAGTGGTGAGGTAATTAAATGAAATTTTCAACTGTTATCTGTAGGAAAAAGAAGTGTGAACAAAAGTGGGGTGATAAAACAAAAATAAAACTTTATCATCTTACTTTAACCAATATTGTCATCGTATCAGACAAAAAGCGAAACACAGTACACATGTACAACATAAAGAAAACCAGGTACTGAGCTGTTGATGAACACCGTTATAGGCCTTAACATCATAAATATATGTATTTAAACTCCGCTATATTGTCATGTGGAGTTGGGGACCACCATGTTGGGTATTCAAGTGTAAGCTCACGTGGAATAGAAATAAAAAAATAGAACAATATATAAAGATGAAAGACTTATTAATCCATTGTCTTAAGGTTTTGGGTAAAGAGTGATATCGGTTCGTTATATAGTTGGCTAAGATGTTATTGGTGTTTGTGTAACTCACACGGATAACCTTCTCCTCGATAGATCCAACAATAATATCAAAGTCGAGCCAATGGTTCCCGAGTGTGAAATAAGAAAATGAAATAAGAAAGTAGAACAAAGAAAGTGAAATAAGAAAGTAGAACAGTATATAAAGATAAAAGACTCATTCTCTAAAGATTTGGAGTAAAGAGTGGTGTCGGTCGCTTGTATAATAATTACCATAACGACTTCAATAACATTTCAAATACCCTTATGGCGGCCTCAACGAATCTGGAACAAACTAGGCCTATAGACAGATTAACAAATCATTTTATTATATATATAGAATATATCTATTATATTTTAAATTTCTTATCAGTATTGTTGAATATATTTATAAATTTAATTAGAATACCAAGTAATTGCAGTGTCCATGGTATATAAAGTATTACATGTTTTTGTTTATTTATTTTAAGTATAAGTTGAACATTTTGGTTTCTTTTATCAAATATAAGTGGCCTGTCTGGGTACTATAGCTTCACGTGTGTACTTATTTGATCATTAGATATCTTTGAGACTTTTAAGGAGAGAATGGGAATTTTCAAGGAAGCCTTGTGAGCGATGTGAAGGGAATGCTGAGTCTGTACGAGGCATCGTTTCTTGGATACGAAGGAGAGAAGATTTTGGATGAGGCCATGGTGTTCTCTAGCTTCCATCTTAGGGTTGCCCTCAACGAAGGTAAAGGCGGTAACATGCTTTTGGAACAAGTGAATCATGCATTGGAGCTTCCACTCCATCACAGAATTCAAAGGCTGGAAGCAAGGTGGTCCATTGAATCTTATGCTAAAAGAACAGACTCAAATCGATTTCTGCTTGAAGCAGCAAAGCTTGATTTCAATATTGTGCAGTCAACAATGCAAAACGATCTCCAACAAATGTCAAGGTGAGTCTGTGTTGGAAAAACGTATCAGTATTTAAATATCAAAGGATAAAAATTGGATGCAACATCAGACTGATATAAAATACTAATTTTAGTCCTATAATATTTAACACAAGATTAACTGAACTAGCAGTGTTTGTGTCTTTTTTCCATAACTAAAATAGCACTGCTGCACTGTAACACAGTATCTCGTTGAAAATAAAAATCTACAGATCAAATTCTCACTAATTTAACCTAGTATATGTGTTTAAAAAACTATACATTTCTTCAAAGTCATGATTATGTGGTCTCGCCTATTGTTTGATCAATTACGTTTCTTCATATGTTTTAATTATATGAAAGAAAATAGAAAGACAAAGAGAAGGAAAACGTGATTGGGGAAGTATGTAAATGAAATTTTCAAGTATTATCTCGAGGAAAGAGACGTACGTGTGCACAAAAGTGGGGAGGAAGAAAAAATAAAAGGTTAATTAAACAGAATGAAAAAGGAAATATTTTCTGTTAACTAGAGAATTATTCCCTTAAAAAAATAGAAGGTTACATGTGTTATTATGATCCTTTTCTATTACAAGCTTTGAGATACTCAGTTTTTCTTGTTACATCTGTGTGGATAGAGTGGTGGAGGGGAATGGGACGTGGGGGCCTCAATTAAGGCTTCAGCCTAGACAGACTTATGGAAATGTTTCTTTTTGACTGTTGGAATGTCTCGAGCCTCAGTTTCAGTGATTTCCGGTAAAGGCTTACAAAAGTTACGTTTCCGTAATAACTACAATCGACGACGGTTTATGATGTCTATGGCACCTTAGAACGAAATTGAAACTTTTCACTGCAGCTGTGGAAAGTAGCTTACGTAAAAAAGAAAAAAACTTCAAATCACGAGCATGAAAAAAACTGGCTGAAATTATTAATCAGTCACTATTAGAATTTTTTTTTTTCTTGTTTCAGTTGGATGTTAAAAGCAAGTTCCATATTCTCCCTGATTCCATGAAGATATGTTTTCTGGCATGTTACACACTGTCACGATTTGCCTATGATGCCCTTAAGGAACATGGACAAGATATTTTACCTCCTACCCTCCCAAAGCATGCGTTAATTCATAAATTTAAGCATATTTCTTATATTATGCATACATGTTAGTCATTATTGAGATTATTTTTTGTTTTTTTAATTAAATTACAACAGTGGTCGATATGTTGAAAGCATTCCTACAAGAAGCCAAATGGAGTCGCGACAGACACTTGTCCAAGATTCGAGATTACATTCAAGCAATGCATGGGTCTCATCTCCGGGTGGTTATACTCACCCATGCTTATTTCTTACTAAACCAAAGCATTACAAAAGAGGCACTTCAATCCTTGCACAATTACCACTCCCTGTTACAGAAACCATCCCTTATTTTTCGACTTTGCAATGATCTGGGCACATCAAAGGTAAATTTGATTCCATACATGACCATGTTTTTTTTTGTGACATTTTTACATCATTAAAACAACAGCCTAAACATAAAAGTAATTGGTCTTGTGTTGTAATTTTGCAGGCAGAGTTAGAGAGAGGTGAAGCAGCAAGCTCCATTGTATGTTTCATGCGAGAAAGTGGTGCTAGTGAAGAGGGTGCTTACAAGCACATCCATAGTTTGCTTAACGAAACGTGGAAGAAGATGAACAAAGATAGAGTGTCACAGTCTCCTTTCCCTAAAGCTTTCGTAGAAACAGCCATGAACCTTGGAAGAATTTCTCTGTGCACATATCAGTATGGAGATGGACATGGAGCCCCAGATAGCACTGCCAAGAATCGTATACGATCTTTGATAATTGAACCCATTGCACTTTACGAGACGGAGGCATTTCAACAAGTTGTTTATTAATATTAATGGTAATCTTGCAAAAGAATAATAAATTAGTTTGTATATAATTAAAGGGTTTGTTATCTTTGTATCATCTAGTTATTTTCAAGTTAAATTGTTAAAATATTTTCTTGATTCTAATAAAATAATTTTGTAACTTGCTGTTTTACCTATTTTTTCTTCATCATATATAGTAAAGATGTGCATAAATTACTTTAAAGTAAAATTGTGTTTTATTGATGACATTTACTAACAAATCATGATCTTTGGTAAAAGTTAATTATCAATAGATTTATCGACGGATACAAATTTTGTATTTATCGACGGAATGTTCTGTCGATAAGATATTTTTGTTTTAATTTATCGATGAATCATTATTTGTTGGTATGTTTTTTTATGAAATAAGGTCAAAAAAATTTTCTTCCCCTTTTCCTCTTCTCTTCTTCGTTCTTACTGTTACGCGATTTCGCTCATCCATTTACCTTCACTGATGCGCGTGTTCTCACCTTCATTGTTTTTGCTTTTCCTTTCATCTTCATTATTCTGCTCTTTCCCAACCTTCATTATTCTAAATCGTCTCCAATCTCCATTGTCCAAAATCGTCGTTTATTGTTTTTTCAAATGTTCGTCGTTGACACCATTGTGAGGAGGGTGTTGTTGTGAGAGAAGAATTGGTCCGTAGTTTATGTTGTGCTTGAGGTTAGTTAAGGGAAGTTGGTCAAGGTTAGGTGGTGAGTTTTTCAGCATTGTCGTGGTGAACGGAGGTTGTTATCGTTAAGGGATCGAGGCTCGAGGCTGTGGAGAGGTCCTACTATGGAGGTAAGTTCTAACTGTAAAAATTAATGCCCTTGTATTGTGTGCAATGACATTAGTATTTGGTTGTTGTTCTGTGCAATGAATAAGCATAACATTTGAGGTTTCTTTTCTTTTCATTTCGGTAGAACAGAAGAAGTGAATGGGTTTATTTTAGCTTGGTTCCCTAATAAATTTTGTGTTTGAATTTTAAAAGTGTTTTGTTTTCAGTATACTTGTATTTCATTCATTCACATAACTGATTTCATATATTGGTTACCCTCTGATGTCTAAATTTTGCATAAGTTTGGTTCAATGTTTATATTGAAAATTGATTCATTCTTTTTTTTGTTGTATTCAACAATGAAAATTTCTATTTAGACTCTAAATTAGATTCCAAATACATCTTAAATAATTATATATACAAAGCTAATGTTTTTCCTTTTATTAGGTTGGCCAATTGAAGGGCACGAGTCTATTCATAGTCTTTGGTTTTGGCTTTCTTCAAAGTTTTTGTTTCCTTGGTTTTAGCTTGCTTCAAAACCTTTGTTTATTTAAACTTTTATAGTTTTTTTTAATTTAATTGTCTTATTTGTTAATATATATTGACATATTATTAACTACTAAAATGGAAAATAAAACACTTAGTTTTAGTGACAAGGAAAAACAATATTTGGCATGTGTGTTTGAGGTGAAGTTGTGGACTTCAAATTAAGTTTATCTCTAGTGACAAATTTGTTCTTCTTTGAAGCAACATCACCTTTGTCACCATGTTCCTAACCAAGTTGACATGAATTAGTTTAGGTGACATAACATGTACAATGTATTCATATTGTAAATGATCATTATATTAATAGTTGAATTGAAAACACAATTCTAATACACGAAAGGTAACTTAGCAAGTTTTCAGTTTCTACTTGTTGTAGATTTGGACCCTTCCTACTCCATGTATTTGTATCCAACCATTTAGGTCCATTTACTGGTCACTACCTCTTTTAGTTTACTAATGAAAGTAAACTAAAACATAATCATATTGCTTTTGGAAATTAATTGTACAACTAAGAACCAAAACCTACATTACAAAAACTAACTAACCCCATACCACTTAATATCAGTCCATCCAACACCAGTCCAATCACCTTCGTAGTAGCAGCAACAAAACGATGAATAAGAACAAGACCATGAAGATGACTATATAGATTATTAACATATTATTTATGTTTATAAACACATACTTTTTTGTGTACCTATATTATTTATGTTTATAAACATATACTTGGTTGTGTACTTATGATGTTTGGATGAATATTATTCATTGAACTTGGATTGTGTGCTATTTTTTTAAAATCTTATGACTAGGTATGATTGTATGGTAAACAACCAACAACCTATTGCACTTGAATCTACCATTATACTTACCAATGAATTTATCAAATGATATATAATTTAGACAAATCCTTCGATAATTATCAAAATCATTATTAATCGATAAATGTTACTAACAAAAAGATTTTATCGAAGGACTTAGAATTATTAGTAATCTGTTACTGATAGATTTTGGTTATTTCCAACAAATTAGTGTCGTTGAAAATTTCAGCTTTTGTTTAATAAGTTAAAAAACACATAAAATATAATTAATAAAATAGTGATTAATATACAATCTAAAACTATTCAAATGACCTAAATAGGAATTGTTTTTAACTTAAACCTTTTTAAAATAATGTAATGATTTTCAGCTATGAAAAAACCATTTATTTTCTTTTTTATTAGCTAATAAAGAAAATTGTGGTTTTTATTTTCTCGTATGGTATTAATTATGAGATAGCTTTGGACTAATCCTTCTTAGTCTATCTTGTAACACCTTAATTAACTAGATGATTCTACTAATTAAATATTATAACGAAGTATTAAGCTTAATCATATTTATAAGGATATAATTTGCATATATAGTCTTCCATGATAAAATTTGATTTGAAATTTTCCTATACAATACAAAATGTATATATTCAAGCTGTAGTTACTCATTTTTCAATCTTCAATAATCTCACCTCCATGCTTCAGTTCTATCTATATTACATATAATATCTAATCATAACAGGTGGACAAATTACAACATAACAGAAAAAGGTATAGTTAGAAGTATTTTCTAACAAACAAACACACACAGAGACATATATGTGTGTGTTTGTTTGTTATGTAAAACTGTAATACTAATCCAAGCATTTAATGTAACACATTTCTATTAAATCACTTTTTATAAATTCTAACACATGACTTAGTATAGACTCAATTTCAGAATATTTATTCAATAAGAACTCATATAGTCTTGCACTTGTCATGTAACCTTGTAGTATAATGTTACGACCAACTAAATTTACCAAGTCTAAAATCTCCCATGACAGAATTAATTTATTATGTTATCGCCAGAAATGGACTCTCGCATTAAATCTCGTCATAGGACCTACTTCAACTCTTACCCATAAACTTAATTCTATATATGAGTCGATGAATTAGTAGAGTTAGAATGATTATATAGGAGGAATAACTATATTAACAATTTCTAAACAATCAATTTTCAATCTAACAAAGATAATTAAAATCATATAAATCATACATGGATCTATACATTTAGGATTCTTAACAAATGAAATATCAACTCACATCTTCCAAAAAAAACTCAAATGAAGAATGTTGTAATAGTTAATAACATCTAATTCAAAACACAAGACTTAAATTTACAAGCGAACTTAAATAACAAGAATTCCTCTCCAATTTCTCACCACTGGTATATTAATTTATATGACTTAAATAACAAGTTAAGCAAGAAGATCTCCATTATAACATTTTTGTCTATCCTTAATACATAAATCAAATCATAGTTCACTTGTCATCCCAAACACAATACCACAAATTCATATAATTATTATCGATATCAATAAGCATTTCCACTTGTAATATACAAATTCTATCCATCTTAATAATTAATCAATGTCATACAATAAAATTAATTTAAACAAAGCTGCAAATCAATCATACATATAAATATTAATATTCATTTTGAATTTAAAAAAACGTTCATATTCAATCCCCCAAAAAAATAGCTTGAGCAAAAGTTGTCTCCTTTAAAAGAAATGTGGACAAAAACTAGATTTGAGTTATAATATTATTTTCGATTGAACGAAAATAAGATTGAGTTGCCGTACTACTTTTAATTAAGCAAAACTATGTTCACTTGAGAAAAATACCTTTACTTTAAGAAATATAAAATCGAGAGCTAGGCTTGAACTTTTGTACCAATTTTGCTTCAGTGAAAATATAAAAAAAAAAAAAAAATCAATCTTAATAGTAACAGAGTCAAATTAGTTTTCAAATATTGTTTTAAAAAATATTTAAATAATATAACTTCGAAACTTCAAATTTATCAAACCTAACATGATTTGCTAAAAAATAAAAGCATGTGTATTTATATTCAAAATTTAATTTAAGATAACTCTTTACCTTGTCATGATCTAATTCTTATATAAATTTTTCAATAAGAATATTAGTTCAAAAGTATTTTAAAAGCATCATTTAGTAAACAACACTCAAGTGTAAACCTTTAAACAATTTTTAACTAAACTACAATTTCTACATAGAAATAAGAATTTAGTGACTAAATCATCTTCACATTCTTATAATCATTCTTGCACTTTTATAAAAAAACATAAATATTCTTCCTTGTCTATAATGCTTATTTTCAAAGAAACTTTTTAAATTCAAACAATAAAACTAATCAAATTTAGGAACTTAAAAAAAAGTACACAAACATAATAAATTTTAATATAATATATGATAAATCAAGTTGAGATGCTTATTATTTTTAATTAATTTTACAAAGATCGATGACAAAGTCATAAAAAAATATTTTAAAAAAAGACCTACTATGTTTAAAGATGTAATCGTCCTGGAATAAATCTCAATCCCTCTACTATTTACTGCTAGTTTTTTTTTAAGAGAGATCAATAAAATAAAAAATGAAGAGTGAGTGGTACATATGTCATGTGACAATATTACCAAATTGACATTTATTGATATGTAATATGATAAATTAATTACATATGTTAAAAAGCAAAAAAAAAAAAGAATGACTAAAATGAACAACCTTATATTACGGCAACTTAAAATTTAACTAAGTTATACTTTATTTTCTTATGATGGCATTAAACAGAAAAAGGAGAAGAAAAAAACCGATAAAACCATTCATCTAAATATTAAAGATATGTTTGGCAGAGAGAAATAAAACCAAGAGGAAAACAAGAA